GGCGCGTCGCACTCGTGCCCGAGCGGGAAGGTCCCGCCGATGACTAGCATCTGCGACGGCCCTCCCGCCGCCGCCGCCCCGCCGCCGCCGCCCCTTGCGGCCGCGGCGTCGGGCGGCACCGCGTTGCACGTCATGCCGTGGTGCGGGTACTTGCCCGTGCCGCCGCCGCCGGGGAAGTCGAGGGGCGCGAGCTTGACCCAGCTGAAGCCCGGCATGGACAGCACGTAGACGTCGTCGAAGCCGGCCGTGCTCGGCGGGAAGCCCATGCCGCCGTACAGGTAGACGTTGTAGCTGGACCGGTCCGCCGGCCACGACGCGCCCACGCAGAAGCGCTGTCTGTTGGGCGGGATGGCGCCCAGCGCCGTCTGCGTGTACCACTTGGAGTTTGCCACGTCGTAGATGAAGACCTGCGACAGCGGCTGCGCTTCGACGGGTGAGCCGTCGCCGCGCGGGTCGATGGCGCCGCCGAGGTACACGAGCAGGCCTCCGTCTCCGGCCGGGATGAAGGCCATGGCCCCGCCGGCTCGGCGCACCGCGTCTGGGCCCGTCTCGTTGCTCCATGTATTTGTGTCGTAGTCGTATTTGACCATGAACGATGTCGCAACTGCTGGCCTGGCGCCCCAGCCGGGGACGGTGGCGTTGGACATCCAGCCTCCGTAGTAGACTTGGTTGTGTACGAGTAGCCATGTTAGTTCTCATCATGTCTTATCGAGAGAAGAGTGTAGATCCTCCAGGAAGGGCTATGACCGAGTTAAATAGGCAGAGGGCATGGACGAGCGTGGCAGACGGAGACCTTACAGCCTTTCCCGATCCTTGATATCCCAACCCCAGCGCCATATGCCAGTCGCACAACTCCATTCCGGGATGGCCCAAAGGAATCCCACTTGTTGTGCATGATGTCGTACGAGAACAACTCAAAGGTGCGCATATCGCCTTGCTTGTTGAATGCGCCTCCATATTGATAAAACCGCTTGTTCACCTCGTCGGGCCAGAGAACGCCGCCGTTGAGCTGGGGGATGCTCTCGTTCTTGGACAGGTTTGCGTGTAGCTGCGGAATGCCACTGAGACTGCTATTGCTTAGATCCTGGTATAACAACCACGAGTCTGTTCACAAGATCGCGCATCAGCACCCGTGGTTCCTAAAACAGTAACCACAAGGATAGTAAAAGCACAGCTGAAATGTCCACCTTGTGGCTTCTACTCACTGGTGGCATTTTCGGGATTCTGAGCAACGGGGTTCCAGTTTACAAAACCGCCGTCAATATAGAGCTTCCGGTCGACGATGGTTGTCTGATGCGCGAATCGCCGGCAAAAGTTCTTGACTGGGTCTTGCTGCTGGAGAGAGACCTGGACGAGCGAGAAGATCATTAAGGCCCAGCAGAGAGGGAGGCGCAACCGCAAGGTCCCTGCTGCTCCTGCCCCTCTCCTCCCGCCATGGCGGCGATCGCATCGAGTGCTCGACCGGGAAGGCGCCTTTTCTGCCTCAACCTGAGCATGAGAAGCGGCGCAGCGACCGGGAAGGCGTGTCGATGACAAAAGTGATATCATAGTCGAGTTCAGTCCCGCCATCACAGCCACCGCTCGGGAAGCGAAAGTGAAGCCGCAAAAGCCCAAAAGCTGTTCTTTGAGCGAAGACGATATGGCAGTGGCTGAGAGAGAAGTAGCCATATTCGCCAACAGGAGGTGATCGAGACTAGCAGATGGTCACCCTTCCTGCCTAGGGGAGGGGGTAGTTGAAGCCGGCGGGGAACGTCATGCGCCGCCGGCCAGTCCAGGTATTTGCAATATTGCATCCTGTCAGTCTTCTCCGCGCATGCCGGACAGAGTTCCTTACTCCCGACTCTAGAGGGCAAGAACCCAAGCGTGGGCGATAGTCGTGGTGGACAGGCGAAGTGGCTGTCAAGAAGGTTCCGCCGGAGCTTGACCAAACAGCGCCACCTAAGTTGAGCCCGAGCGCATCAGCCCAGGGGGGAATCTAGCGCTGGACTTGGATCGCCGACGTATGCCTTGCAGCCACCAGAAAGAGTATTTTTATTTGCAGATTTATGATCAAGCTCGCCGAGACCGCGCGCCAGAGGTTAGACTGTGCGGCGGAGCTCTCAACCTTGGCTCGCAAGGAGTAAGCCAACGCGCGATATAGTTGAGAATCTCGATCGAGGCGCTGACTGATGCCGTTCTCTGGCCCCTGCTGCCCCGCTGTTGGATAATGAAGTGCCCGCAGGCGAGATGTGTAGATGGATTTAAGGTGGTCACATCTGGCGCTTCTGATCTTGGACGTGTCAGCGTAGAATTGATAGCATGTCTGAATGATTGCTCCGTCCGCATGCTAGAGATCGGCAGACTACTGGGATTTCGAGTACAAGAGGATAGTGGCCATGATTGGGATACGCAAGTGCTTTAATTTAATCTGGGCCGCGTTCCGTATAAAAAAAACAATGCTATAAAGAGGAACCTTGGCTCATTGAAACCTGCCCTTAAGGGCGGGTCCCATAATTCTCATCATGGTCGCTATTCTTGGCGTCTAGATGGTCACCAGGGAGAATGGTCGGCCCCACGTGGTTGAACTTGGCTAGATCGTTGGCGACATCGTCGAGGTATGCGCCTAGAGAGCCGGCCTTGAGCTCTGAAGCCAGCTTGGGGAATGTATATGTGAATGTCTTGCTGATGAGCTGTAACTCGGGGCCGGCGGAGCTACTGTCTGTGGACCGGAGGCGCTGTATTGTCGACGAGCCAGCCGACTCTATCTCGTGGCCGGCTGTACGGGTAGCGCCGAGCTGCCACAGCAGACAGAAATAGGCTTTGTGGGCGTGATCGTAAGAGCCCGAGCCCCAGATGATGTCGCGTATGGATGGCTGGGCGCGGCTGTGACCTAGGCTCCAGCCTGTGAGAAGTCGGAAGAGCTCGGACTGCTGGTTCCTATGCGGCGGCGGTCTCCAATGAAAACTTGGGCGAGCGCCAAGGTTGTCGTCAAGCATGCGCTTGAGGCAGGAGGCGACAAGGTGAGTCACCTCTTCGTCAGGAGAAGAAAAGTGACCCAGGCGCAGCCCGATTTCGACGTATTTCTGTGCCGCTTCGAGCTCGGAGCAAGCAACCGCAGCTTCAAGACCTAGGAGACACAGCGATCTGGGTATCTCTGTTATGCCTCTTGACTCAAGGTTGATATGTATGTTGTTGAGTAGAGTGAGTGTTTTGGGGGCCTGTTCCTTGGAGAGCCCATTCACCCGCCGGATAGCTGCGGCGATCTCGGCACCGCACGCCGCGAGCTCCTTGTCAGACTGCGTGACGGTAGACATGGCGGGGAAGACCAGCCTGCGGAGCTCTAGAAGACTGCTCGCCTGACGGATCCGGGAGTTGAGATCTGCATAGCTTATGCGATCCAAGGTCTCGGGCCTCGGCTGTCGCTGCAGCTCGCGCAGCATGAACAAGACAACAGTCGACGTCGCCTCCATGGCGGAGGAGCGGGCGGCGTTGTGGTGCGCAGCTTGCGCAAGCACCCCGTAGCGACGCTCGGCGTCCGGATCCTCGGGGAGACCGGCCGGTCTCTCAAGCCCCGTGAGAGCGGCCGAGAGGGCGTCGTGCTCGTTGATGCGCCAAGGGTGGTACGGCGCCGCCCTGGTCACCTTGCGCCGCTCCATGGCGGCGGCGGCCTCTTCGGGCACGCGCCCGAGCCTCTCCATGGCGGCCTCCAGGTCCGCGTCGACAGTGCGCCATTTGTGGTGCTGGTGGGCCGTGTCCCTGTCGTCAAAGTTGCGCGTGTATGGGGAGCCCTCGGCGTCGAGGTCTAGGGCGCGGAGAGGGAGCTCAAAGGGCACGATCTTGTCCCTCATGGCGATGGTGGCCTTGATGAGCCTGCTGCGCCGCCATCTTATCCGCTTGTGCGCGAACCTCACTTGATATTGGCCCAGGGGGTTCAAGGCGGGGAGCTTGCGGCAGAGACCCAGAGCGTGTCCTCTTGTTGCACTCATCGTGTGTTTGTTCCGTCTTTGCCCCGCGCATGCGCCTGGCCTTCTCGCATGGCAACCGGCCTGAACCTATGATTCATGGGCGCATTGTGTCAAACGGGATGTGAGACTGACGGCAACGGCGATATTTGGATCCTGGGATTTGGATCCGATTTGGATTCTGGGATTTGGAAATCGGGACAGGACAGTGAGGGAACAGGCGTTGTGGTCCAGTGAACAATCCCTGCATGTCTGGGGTAATTGTCGCCCACTTGCTTGGGTGGGCGGCCAGTGAGTGTGCCGTTCACCAATGGCGCAGGCCCACCCGTCTTGTTGCCCATCAATCTGCTGCCAAAACTTGTCTCCGCAACAGCGCCATTCTCAGGTCGCAGTCCAACACACTCACAATCTGCTTCGACGACCACGCATCAAGACATACTCTGGATCACGTCAAATCCCCCTTGATTTGTCGCCTCTTTGCTGTCATACCAAAACTCATCCCCTCACACCATGCCCCCGGCAAAGAAGAGAAGGACGACCCGATCGTCAAAAGCGGTCGTTGAAGAGGAGCCTGTTGCCGTCAAGGCCCCGACCCCCGACGAGACGGCGGTTACCGACGAGCCCATGAACACCGACGAACCCGCGAAGCCCAGCGACGAAGCAACAGCAGCCATCCCGGAGGAACCTTCGGCCCCTGCGGCCACCGGCAGCCGCTCAGAAGACCCCGCCCCGGCGGCAGAGGCCTCGGCAGAAGCAGAAGCAGAAGCAGACACGCAATCGGCGGCCGAAAAGGCGGCGGACCGCATGGCCCGCTTCCGCGCGCTGCAGGAGCGGGCCAAGAAGTCGTCGGACCAGAACCTCAAGGCGGCGACGGCCGAGTCGCGGCGGCTGGCCACGGACCCGACGCAGCTGACGGCGCTGCACCGGCGGCACGCCATCGCGTCGCACAAGATCCTCAAGGCCGACGTCGAGGACGCGGGCGGCGACTTTGAGCGCAAGCGGGCCTGGGACTGGACCGTCGAGGAGAGCGAGCAGTGGGACAAGCGCATGAAGAAGAAGGAGTCGGCCCGCGACAACAACGCCTTCCAGGACTTCCGCCAGGAGGCCCAGAAGATCTACAAGCGCCAGCTCAAGAACATGCCCCCGGACCTGGAGCGCTACGCGAGCGACAAGATGGCCGCCATCAACAAGGCCGCCGCCGCGGGCACCCTCGACATCGTCGAGACCGAGGACGGCGAGCTCATCGCCGTCGACCGCGACGGCTCCTTCTACTCCACCGCCGACTCCACCTCGTTCGCAAACAACAGGCCCGACAAGGCCGCCATCGACCGCCTCGTCAACGACATGAAGAAGGCCGAAGACGTCGCCGCCAAGAAGCGGAAGGCTCGCACCGCTAAGAACGGCGACGACGACGACGTCACCTACATCAACGACAAGAACAAGCAGTTTAACCAGAAGCTGTCTCGCTTCTACAACAAGTACACTGCTGAGATCAGGGAGAGCTTTGAGCGCGGTACTATGATTTGATAATTTGACACATATTTCTTTCACTTCTGGCTATTCCTTCTAGCATCTTTCTTCTCATACGACGGGGGCATATCACATGCGTCAGGGGTTACGGTGATGGTTATAAGACTGGGCAAGCGGGCATCAATGGATTTACACGGGCAAGGATCGCCCTGAGGATTCGAAAAGAAATGACAGCGAAACATCTCCACCTTTGTGGCGGTTTTAACCCGAAGAAACGAGGTCCCGTTATGTCTAATGATACACAGCTAACAAACTCGCCAAAGACCATTTCTGGGATGCAGGTTCTCCATGTAGAACTTGTCCGGGGGAAATGGCATGGCTCGAGCTTAAAGCATCTCCTTCCTCCAGCCCTTGTTCGCTAATTCCTCGATCTCGGGCACCTCGACGGGTCCCATGACCTTGTCGTCGCTCAGACCTTCGACAATGGCGGCGGCGACGTCCTCGACCTTGAGGGGCTTGACGGCGCCGGCGCCCAGGAAGCCGCCCAGAACGCCGCCGGTGGCCCGGTTGAAGAGGCTGCCCAGACCGGCTGCCGCCGCCATGGGGATGGTGAAGGCCCTGGAGCTGTCGTACATGAAGGGGGCGCGGACGAAGACGCCGCGCATGTGGGGGTACTCGCTCGAGATGAGGCTCTCGGCGTCGCGCTTGGTGCTGAGGTAGCGCGCCGGCAGCACGGGCGCGCCAGCGGCCGCCGACAGGAAGCAAAAGGCGCTCACCTTCTCCCTGGCTGCCTCTTTGGCTAGGATGAGGGCACTGTCGCGGTTCATCCTCTCATAGGTCAGCGCCGCGGCGGGCGGTGGCGGCTGCTGCTGCTGCTGCTGCTGGTAGTGCGGCTCGAGCGGGCTCGGGGCCGCGCCGGCCGACGCGCCCGGCCCAGCGGCAAAGGCCCTGCGCAGGCCGGCGATGGGGGACTCGCGGCCCGAGATGACGCCCTTGTAGTCGGCCTCGAGGAGGATGCCCATGCTGTGCACCACGTAGTCGGCCCCCTTGAGCAGCGGCGCCCACTGCTCCGGCCGGAAGATGTCTGCCCTCTCCCAGCTGACCTTGTGGGCCCAGGCCGGGGGCGACGGGGATGAGGTCACCGAGGCCCAGTGTGGCTCACCCGAGCGGCTGTGGTGGTTTTCTCGTGTCAGAATTTTGATGCTTTAGCCCTGGTTGAGTTCAGAGCAACTCGCCTTATGGACGTGACATCCCATCCCCTCGTGACTGCGTGCTTGCATATCCTCGACCCCACGAAGCCGTTGCCTCCGCAAACGACAAGTCTCTTGGCAGCTGTGGTCGACATTTTTCCAGCAGTTCACATTACCAGCTGGTAGCCTAAAGCAGCTGTGAGCGTGGGCCTCCAGACAGCAAGCTATGGGGGGTTCGGGTGTGGTAGAATCAACGAACCGCACGTCCTAGACACAAAGCAAATACCAGAAAGCCGAAATACACAAGCTCCCCAGGGTTTTTTCACATCATGCCATCATCAATCGAATCTCTGATCGCACCAACGCAAGGCTGAGCTAGATCGGCTCCGATGGAACGATTGCAAACACAGTCCCCACAGTTTCGTCATCGCAGCCAATAACACCCCAGTCCATAAATGAGACGAGATCCACTCATGCGCCCAAAAACACAAGGCTGCTGTTTCCTTGGGTGCCCGCCGATTGCCGATCAATTCTCCCTCTCACCAAAAACACCACCCTTGTCGCGGCAATGACACCCGTCGCCACCCTCGTCGCCGTCGCCGCCGCCGCCGCCGCCGCCGCCCACGACGACGACCAACTATGGCGCCGCAAAGCAACCTAGGCAAGCGCGCAAAGGGCGTCTCGATCCACCGGCCCTTCATCTACGGCACCACGGCCAAGCCCTTCGACGACGACAAGAACCCCAAGCCGCCGGGCGTGCCCGACGACCACACCCACTCGTGGCAGGTCTTTGTCAAGGGCGTCGAGGACACGGACGTGACGTACTGGCTGAAGCGCGTGCAGTTCAAGCTGCACGAGTCCATCCCGAATCACATCCGCAGTAGGTGGCTTGCCTCTGCTTCGAGTTTCTTTTTTTTTTCTCGCCCGTATTTGCTTTTCACAAGCTGACCCCCTTTTTCAACTTTCACAGTGGTCGATGGCGAGGCCGGCAAGGCCTTCGTAGTAAACGAGACGGGCTGGGGCGAGTTCGAGATCGCCATCAAGCTCTACTACGCGCAGGAGTCGGGCGAGAAGGCGCAGACGCTCTACCACCACCTGCACCTGCACCCCTACGGCCGCACCGAGGCCGAGAAGGACGCCATGAAGGCGTCGGGCGAGGTCATCGCCTGGGTCTACGAGGAGCAGATCTTCAACGAGCCGTACGAGGCCTTCTACGAGATCCTGACCAGCGGCGCCCTGCCCCCGCCCCCCGGCAGCGCCGCCGCCGCCTCGAGGGCCGGCGGCAACAAGGGCGGCAAGGGCAAGGGCAAGGGGGCCGCCGCCTCCTCCACCGTCGGCGTCCGCAGCGAGGGCGGCGTGCTCGAGCGCAGCGCCATGATACCGCTGGCCAACAGGCCCGGCCAGCCCTTTAGCAAGGAGACGGAGAAGCTCGAGATTGAGCGCCTCAAGAAGGCCCAGGAGAAGGCGCAGGCCCTTACGGCTCGGCTGCAAGACCAGCTCAAGAAGAAGGAGGCGGCTCTGCAGAAGCTAAAGAAGCAAAACGCCGCCAAATAGCGACGCGTTTTTAGGCTCTGTAGCATGATAGCAGAACTCGTCAATCACGGTATTGCTGGGCCTTGTGGCTAACCTGCTCTAATTTTCCCCCTGATGTTTTTAAGGAGAGAGGCGTTCGAGGACATAGAAAAAGAAACCCCCGGATACCATGCGCCACACCTCGTGTACACCGCTATTAAGCTTATTTGTATACCGACTTTCTCTGCTTTCTGGTTCTGTCTCTCTCTCTCCAGTCATCCGTTGCTTGGGATATTAGCCCCAACTCATGGCGTCCATCTCAATTATGTTTGCCTCCCCAATACTGCTGGATGTGAAGTTTTCGTCAAAAGTCCGTTTCCCAGGCTCAGCCCAACTCCCATTCAAGCCTCCAAGAGGCAGTTTGTTTTGACCCGAGGCACTTCGGCGCCCATGTACCAGCCGCCGTCGATCAGCTCGAGCTCCATGTTCTTCCAATACTCGAGCTTAGTCTCCTGGTCCTTCAGATCGAGATCGCCGAGCCGCGCCTCGACGCCGCCGCCGCCGCCGCCGCCGGGCGTCAGGCGGACATAGCAGGTACAGTCGCGGAGCGTCATGGCGCGGCCGAGGCCGAACGTGTCCTCGGGCTCGAGCACGCCGACCGTGTCGTTTGCGAGCTGGGCGTCGCGCAGCCGCGGCAGCAGCTCGTTGGTGAGCAGCCACTCGCGCAGGCTCTCGAGCCCGCGGCTGCCCTCGGCGAAGACGCCGGCGTCGGCACCGGCCGCCGCCGTGAGGTCGTCGCACACGATCCTCAGCGACTCGGGACTACCGCGGTCCAGCAGCCGCAGCGGGCACAGGATGGAGCCGACGAACTCGTCCTTCTTGCGGCTCCGGAGCGCCTCGCGCGCGCAGTTGCGGCACCGCCTGGCGCCCGCCGGCGCCGTGGGGGACTGCGCCAGCCACTTGGGCTTGAACTCGATCAGCTTCTCGGCGTCGTCTCCTGGACGTTTGGGGGCCCGCCCACCTAGGTCAGCTGACGGTTTTTTTTTTTTTTCTCTTTCCAGAAGAGAACGAGCGGGCTCACACTTACTTGGCCGCATGTCGCGGATCAGCATCACCTCCCGTATGTCCTCTTTGAGCTTTGACCCTCTGAACTTGAGCGGCCGGCCTCCCTCCCCCTCAACGCGGTCTAGCTCCGTCCTGACGGCCGAGCGCACGAGGTCGCCGTTGCTGTCGGCGCCGCCGGCCCCGCCGTCGTCGAGCGCCACCAGGTACTGGGGCACCAGGTCGGCGGGGCGGAAGAGCGGGTAGATGTACCGGCACCAGTGCCCGTGGATGTCGCTGTAGCTGCCCGTGGCCCGCTTGGGCACCCGGAGCAGCAGGTCCCGCACGCCGCCGCCGGGGAAGCTGAAGACCATGTTGGCCATGCCCTCGGCCACGTAGCGCACCGACGGGCCCGTGTCGCGCGGGAAGGGCTGCGCCTCTGACACGTGCCGCAGCGCCGCGTCTGGGCCGTCCGCCGTTGACGACATGGCTGGCGGCTGATGGGGGTGGTGGGTGTCCTTGTCGGTGTCCTTGGTATCCATGAGGAAAAGAAAATAGGTGAGGCTCCGTTCCGGTCCCCAACGAGAGGCTGAGGGCGGTGTATGTTAGTCGGTGACTACCAAAGACAATATGGTCGCACAAGCGAAAATCCCGAGTGATTGTGGATGTTGGCGTTGGTTCTAGATACACAAGCACTGTTGACGCGGCTGACGTTTGACGCATGCAAGCTAAATGGCGGCTGGATGCATGGGCAGGTGAGCCTGTGATGCGGTCAGCAGGCGGTGTCTGGCCCCCGGGTAAGACAACCGGTGGCAGCGGGTTGTTCTTGCAGCTGCTCTCACCAAGGTCTCACTGCAAACCCACGTCCCCTTCCCCAACACACGAAAAGACAGGGTAGGTTGGTAGTATGTAAGGTGGTAGCCACGAGCGAGGCACATGAGAGAAGCAAAGCAGGGCATGTCCACAGCAGTTGGCACCCAACATTAATCCCTGTCACCAGGTTTGGCCGCTCCCCCAAGTAAGCCCGGAAAGTCTAGAGCCTTCCTGCGCCTTACAGCCGTGTACCTACCTACCTACCTACCTACCTACCTATCTAGGTAGGTATCGTACCTACTATTTTCATTGGCATCACTACTACTCTGCCCACGCGGAGGAGCGACGTGCTGTCATACCCCCCTTTCTGGCCCGCCATCTGTGAGGACGGCACTCCTTGGCCGGTTACGAGGTTGCCAAGTCGCGTCCAGAAGTTGGCTGGCGGCCCAGGCCCTGGTTCCAACCAGCAGGAGCGGGGCTCGAAAACGTCACAGCGGGGAAGTGCCGAGAGAGTACCTGCATTTGTACCACTTTCTCCTCACCTAACACGACATGAGATGTGACGATCCAACAATGCACTGTCTTTTTTTTGGGTACTCTTTTCGTTGAGGCTTAAAACAGGCCGTGAAAGGTTTGGATTTTCAGTGTTCAATTGACTCCCGACTCCACGCTATTTGAGGCAAATGAAGACTGTCTTGTACAGAGGAATCATGCAGTGCCCTGACGCAGACTCTGCTGCGCGAGCTCGTGAACATGGCCCTCATTCCTACTCATCAGCGAGGGCTCGGCGGAAGGCGCGGGCGGGGCGGCCTCGATTATGTCCGTCTTTATCAGCAGGATGCCCTTGCTCGGCAGGCCGCCCTTGTCCATCAGCCTCACGAAGCGGTAGCCGGGCCGCAGCCTGTCGAGGCGGATGGCGGCCCAGGCTGCCATGACGTCGGGCCCGACGACGTCGTTCATGACGACAAGGGTCAAAAAGGTCAGCTCGGGCAGCACGCCCTCGACGTTCTGGAACTCGATGACCTCGGCCTCGAAGTCGGGGCTCGTGCCCTTCATCTGCGCCGTCTGGCCGCGGTACTCGATCTCGGGCCGGGCCTCGCCGCCCTCCTGCTGCTTGACGCCGTCGAAGACGTGCGGCTGCGTGTGCAGCTCCACCTTGACGTAGGGGATAAAGTTTGCGGGCCTGTCGTTCTTGCTCAGCAGCGGTATGTTTTGCGCCGCCAGGATGGTGATGGCCACGCGCTCGAGCGTCTTGTGCGGCAGCTGCGACTCCTCGTGCACAGGCGCCCACTCCTTGCCCGCGCGGTAGCCGTCGGGCTTGAGGACGTAGCCGTCGGAGCCGGCAAACATGCCCTCGTTGATCATCATGCCGGCGTCGTACGACTGCCAGTTGAGGGCCACGACCTGCGCGCCCGTGCGCCAGAAGATGACGGGGTTGAAGTTGGACGAGTCGACGCGCATGCCGCCGGGGTAGAGCCGCATCAGGTAGTTCTTGTTGTGCTGGAAGAACTCGACGGGCTGCTTCTGCTGCACCTCGGCGGCCCCCTGCTCCGACAGGGAGAAGATGTGGTTCGGCATGGCGGCCTCGGGCTGGGAGAGAGACTTGAAGGTGACGCCCCGCGTGTAGATGCCCAGTCGGCTAAGGCGCGGGGTGATCTTGGGTGCCTTGACCTTTCGAGCCTTCTTATCCTTGCCGTCCTGCACCATCTCGAACACGCTCTCGTCGTCCTGTGCGGCGCCCCCCTCGGGCACGTATTTGACCTTGATCAGGATTTTCTTGCGCAGCTCGTCGGGCGACGGCAGCGAAGTCGGCTGGCTCTCGGGGGTGGGCAGCAGAAACTCGGCCCAGGCCTCCTCCATTATGTCTACCATTACGCCCTGCTGAACCGGGGAGCAGTGGACCTCGAGGCTGACGATGAGCGGCAGGTCCGAGGTCGCGAAAGCGTAGTCCCGGACTACCTGGCAGACGCTGCGGAACGAAACCTCCTTGGTCAGGGTGAAGCCGTGGAGAACCCGGGGCTCGTACCGGATGACATCGGAAAGCCTGTCGTCCACGGTCCTCCCTTCGGGGTTGACGCCGCCGTCCTTGTCGAACGTCTCCAAGATCCACGTGCCGAACTTGAGCATCAGCTTATCTTTCCGGCTCAGCTTTCTTGGGCCTTCTTCCAAGGGTGGCTCTCCTTCCTTGCGGTAAATCGGGTCGTTGGGAGGCGTGTAGATGGCATCGCCATCCCACACATCGATCTCGATGCACCGGCAGCCGCGAAGGAGCACGTCCTTGTAGGCGTCAGTGCTGGAGTCGGAGGAGAGCTGGTTGCCGGTGAGATACGTGTTGTGGCTAGAGCTGATGAAGTAGTTGTTGAGCGGCCACGTCAGGTCCTGGGGCGAGGCCATCTCCATGGCGTTCCCCAGGGGGGAGGTCATGTACTGCAGGAACTCGCTCAGCTCGATCTCTTCCTTCTCGGCGAGGAAGCCCGCCGGGCCGTTGGCATCCTCGAGCTGGACATGCTGCATGAAGACGGCGAGCTGGTCCCGGGACCATTTGTTGCTGGGGCCGCTGTACCGGGCGAAGATTTTGGCCAAGTGGCCGAGCAGCGACTCGTCCAGCCGGTCCCGGATGCCCTGGCGCTCAGCGCTCGGGTGGCCGCCGCCGGCCTTGTACTGTTGGATGGGGAACTCGGACGACGTGATGGACGACATGGCGGGTGTGCCGTTTACCTGCTGTGCATGTATGTCTCTGATGCAAGACGTCTTGACCAGTCACATCTCACCAACATAGACACCTGTACATATACTACGCGATTCAGCCTACCGTTGCCGCATGCGACGGCCGTCTGTTCGCACCAGGGGTCCAGGCCTAGGCCGTCTCGGCCTCGCCCGAGGTCGTCCCGGGGGTTGACGCGTCAGCCTACCCAGCCGCAAGCCGGATATCCATGTCGCCGCTTGGCAACGGAAACGGCAACGACGGGGGAAAAAGCCAATGGAACCACGCGGCACAAAAGGACTGACATGCAGCCTGGTCCTCCCGCCAGATGCCGCGATTTTGTTTTTTGTCTCATCACCTCACACCACTACTTCTCGCAAACTGTGGAGCGCCAAGCCGTTGCAAGCAGACCTGACGCCTGGACAGCGCAGAGGACATGACTCGTGGCGTGCTGGGTTGGGGCACAAGACCGATCCGATCGGGCGCTCGCCTCAATGCCCAATGGGTTTGGTCCAGTGGATTTGGTCCAATGGCTGGGGTTTGTCCAATGGGTTCAACGTTCTTCTGGCAAACATCGGATCGAATACGCTGGCGGCGCTGTGCTGCAGTTGGGATGACAGCACGCAGAGCCTGGTCCTCGGCCGTGGGAAGGCGGCTGCGCGAGGTTTCATGGCGCGCGTTTGCGGTTGAGGCGGGTTGTGCCCTCGAGCAGGGACAAAGGCCAGACGATAGGCTGGCACGCTGGCACGCTCTCGAGACAATGGCTGGCTGCTGGCTGGCTGGTCGAGGTTTCTTCCCTGTGCAACGACGGCCCTGGGCCGTGCAAAATAAATAGTCCTGGCCTCGGGCTCGCACGATGGCGGTGTGGAGGCCACCTGGACTGCGTCGACACGGCTGTCGACGGCTGCAGGCAGAAAGGCGGTCAGTGGGATCTCCCTTGCCGCCATTTGCCAGGCTGGGAGACTCCCTGCGCAGACAAACCAAGAATAGGCCGGCGTGTTTCGGCCATCCCTTTTCAAGTAGATCGAGTGAGTGAGAGGCGACGAGCGAAGGAAACGCTGCTTCGACCCCCGGTGACCCGCAGGCTCGCCCCCTCGTGCCCCACTTGGACATCATCGTCCCCACGTTTGGTCTGGCCAGTCGGCGCCGTGCACGCGACCCCGGCAGGAGGGGGGAGCCAGCAACAGGGCTTTCCATGAGCCCAGTCGTGAGCGGGCGGGGAACTAGACTAACAGAAATTGCGTCAATGCAGTGTTTGTGGTCTTCGCCATGGCTGGGGTCACAGTATTTGACTCAGCCGAGACCCCAGACATGTCGACGAAACTGGGCAGCCAACCCAGCTGCCGGCTTGAGGCGCGCACGCAGAGGGAGGAAAGAAGGCGGACGAAGGGAGATCGTCGCCTACTGTCCAGCACCTCGCCGTGGCCGCAGACGTTGCTGTTTCTCTAGCCGCCGGTTGCATTGGTGTGGCATGCATTTGCTAATACGTTGTCACGAGTTGTCGCGCCTTGTCACTGGTTGTCCAACCGTACCGTGGATCGATGCAGGCACTCAATGGGCAGGCGCACGAGGGATAGGGCACCAAGCAGGTTGCCGGCAGAAAAGCTGGCACAAGGTTGGGTCGACCGCCCTGGAATGCTGCCAACCTAGGGGCCAGCCTAGTCCACCAGCTTCCATGCGCGTCCAAGTGAGGCACTTTAGCACTGAGCAGAGAGGGGAGATGGAGGGGAGGGGAGGGGAAGTGGCGGCACCATGAACCGTTCCAACTGGCGCAAACGACTATACATAAGTCGGCAGCCCAGCGCGCCGTCCTGCACCTCTCGTGCCACCATTCCCCAGGAAAAAGGTGCGGGCGACCTGTGGCATGTTTTTAGGGTCAGATCAGGTCTTTTCGATCCATTGGCCTTGATCAGATGCCCAGATCCTTCCGCGCCTTGTCACGCTTGCCTTGCAAATCGCGTCCGGGTCAAGGGTCAAGCGACTGAGCATGACGGCTGCCGGCACATGAGTGGCTGTCTCTGCTTATGTAACCAATCGGAAAAGCCCGCCGCCTATGTCCAAGGCCAAACCCGCCTGCTCCGTGCGAGGACCACCCGCACCCAAAAATTTTCCCCAAGCCGCCCTCCACTAGCGTCATTCCACACTCTTATCCGGCCGCAACCAACCTGGAAGCTTCCCAGTCTGCGATCCGTCACTCCCTCAGCCCAATCTTCACCTATCCTTTGTGCCGACTTTGTTTGATCCCAGGCCAACCTTTTCTTCCCGCTCTCTTTCACCACGCCTTTGCTGTCGAGCGCTGCCCTCGGCCACCGCCCGACCGGCCCTCGCAATCTCCGGCTTTGCTTCTGCGCAACCCCCTTTTGCCGCCCTTGCCCACCACCAGACAACGCCCACGCGAGCTCCTGCCCGCGAGCGTCTCCCGAGCGAGGCAACCACGGCCGCACCGCGCCATGATCGCATAACAGCCACTCAACATGGCCTTCAACTTCAACTGGTCGCCGCTCGCGGCCGACGCGAGTTTCTACCAGCGCGCACGCGACCTCCTCACCACCGCCCTGAACAAGTCCCCGAAACCTCCGATAATAGTCGACGACATCCTTGTGACCGAGTTCAACCTCGGCTCCGTTCCTCCAGAGTTGGAGATCCTCGAGATCGGCGACCTGGCTGAGGATAGGTTCCGGGGCATCTTCAAGATGTGCTACTCGGGTGACGCGTTCTTGACGCTCAAGACAAGAGTTCAGGTGGGTTTTCTTTGCGGCGCCTTTTCCCCCCCTGTCCACGTTCGCGATGCGACAGCACCAACGACCCCGACATATCCCCGCCATTCATACGTCGACTGGCGAGCCCAACCCCAGCGCATTCCCACACCACCAACGCGCTCCATCTCTTGGGCATTCCATCTTGCTGGCCTGCACGACACACAATGCCCGCGCAACACCCAGCAAGCGCTGCTCGCCCCTATCACATCCCTCGCGGGCGCAGCGGATCTTGGCGACGGGGTCGGGAGAACCCGCTTGACGCGCTCCTTCACTTCCCTCAGCATAACTCGCTTGGCCTGATTTCATTGCGATGGAGTCAATTCATCCACACGAAAGTCGCGTCGCCCCTCCTTCCGGGTGTTTTCGCGCTTGCCGCATTATCCTCGGAAATTAGTCGACAGGGGTCCGCGTTTCTCGAACCAAGAACACTGCCGAGGTGCAGCTCATTGCATCATCATATCAGACACTAATATAACGTCACAGGCAAACCCCCTGAACACCTCCCTGCACTCCAAACCGAGCTTCACGTCGCCGACACCCCTAGCTGCCGCCTCGGGCTTGACGATCCCTCTCCAGATTACGTTATCGGAGATCAAGCTCTCTGCTTTCATCATCGTCGTCTTCTCCAAGCAGAAGGGCCTGACCCTGGTCTTTCGCAATGACCCACTGGAGTCCCTCAAGGTCTCGTCGACCTTTGACTCGATACAGTTTGTGCGGGACTATCTGCAAAGGACCATCGAGGGGAAGCTGAGGGACCTGATGATGGATGAGCTGCCCGCCATCATCCACAAGCTGTCCCTGCAGCTATGGTGTCCAGACCAGCTCCCCAAGGACGACGAGGAGAAGGCGGACGAGACGGACGAGACCACGGTCAACCCATTCGCCAGCCCCCCTGTCGACGCCGTCGATGCGAACGGAAACCCCGTGGATCCTAGCGAAATCTCCAACATTGCCGTCAATGGCGGCGCCGACCTGCAGTCGCTTTTCTCGCAGCGCAGTCTATCCCATCTGTCATCCCTCATCAACTCGCATCTCACATCATCTCTCTCCACGCCTCCAGCCCCCGAAGTCATTTTCCGCGCCAAGGCCGGCCCGGTGGACAAGGTGGAGGGCTGCGCTTCGCCATCCCCGCTGGCACCCAGTCTAGTGAAGTCGCATTCGTTCCACGGGTCCACGACGGTCTATACCTTTTCGGATACGAGCAGCCAGTCCAACGGGCAGCTTCCGTCACGCCCGTCACTAGTCAGCATGAACTCTGCCACTACTGGTCTCGGTCTCGGCTCGAGTCGGCACGCCAAGCCGTTCGCCAACCGGAAAAAGAAGAACAGGGTCGTGAACCTCAGGCGCAAGACGGAGCCAGAAGCCAGCAGCGATACGGGAGAGACCGAAGACGACACGTCCTCGGTCGAGCCTCCCTCGTCAGACTTCACTGCGTCGACTTCTATCCCCGAGGAGCCCGAGGAGGAGTCCGTGCCTGACCCTGCAAGCTGGAGCAGGATCCGTTACGCGCCCGGCAATGATCGGCCCCAGCTTCAGCGTGCAGCTCTGAGTCGCGACGTTTTTACCCCAGTACCCGGAACGGACAGGGTAGAAACGACGGACCCCATATTGGCTCAGCCGGAGCCCACCAAGGAGAACATTGTTCCAGCCGGCAACCCAGAAGTCAAAGAGAAGAAGAGCATGAAGGAGCCTCTCCGACCACGCACCAACTCGGAAGCCCCTTCTGTGATATTAGAACAGGCCTGGATCATGAAGATGGCGGGCGAGATCGCCAAACGCGTCTACGACGAGAAGCAGCGAAACCCAAACTTCTGGGACGACCGGGAGGACTTGCCACCCCCGGCATACGAAGCTCAACCGAGATCGACGAGCTCGTAAACAGTGCCCCGCACCTCACCGACCACTATCGACACTCTCACTCTTTCACACAAAATTTCCTATGTGCCTCTCATCTACATTCCATATAAAGCCCTGCTGGGGAAAGGGCATAGGGTGGCGTCCGGTCTGTCTTTGGAAGCATGGCGGGACCACTTACGATCCTGCTGTGCTCAGCATTACTACATAATTTGGTAATGTGTTGTTTTACAGCGCAAAACTACACTAACGGCGTTTTAACGAGGAATTATACAATGGGATAGATGGTGGGTGGCTCATGAAAAAAATCACGGCGGTTTTTCTTAGCGGTCGTTTGGCCGACAGGGGAAGAAGGGAGGAGGAAGCCTCGCCCGTCGAGGGCGGGCGAGGCAACGGGACCGCTTTCGGTCACACACAGCAGTATAACCAGGTCACCCACCTGTGCAGACTCTCATGTATCGTTTCTTGTTTTATCTCTTTTGTCGGCGCTGGCGAGGGGCCCTCAATGGGTGTTTTTTCAATGGTGTGTACACGTACGAGTAAACGTACGTCACTGGCGCGGCGCATGCCAGCCAAGTTGAGGTTGCCGGGCTGGCGAGTACCGGCCAGCATACTCAGTTGGATATTCCGATAGATTCGTGAATCGACTATCCCACTCTCACTCACAAACCTATTCAGTCCAGGCAAGCAATCGTGAGATTTTGTCTGTTTATGCAACCTGCGAGGCACTGGCACGCCAACCGATGTCACTCGATATGAGCATACGTGTTTCGGGATGACGGGAGTGAGCACGGGCTACAAAATGAGGAGGGTCATTGGAAAAATCGTAGACGGGCCATCTCCCTAGTATGATATTCTATATGCGTTGGCCCCGGGTGCTGTCAAGCTAGGGGTGTAATTGCTGTGCTCCCATGCGGTACTTGCCAGCGCCATACATCTCTTGATTACGAAAACAACAAGTGAAAATCCTGACTGACGATGGGATAAAAAAGAGAAAAGAAAAAAGCTTTAAATCTAGAACCATGCGCCTCATTGATGCAAAAAAAAAAAAAAAAAAACAACCAAGCACTTTTTAAACCCCCCCTTAGATGCCCGCGACACTGAAGCTCAGCACGCTCCCCGTAGCAAGGCCGGCGACGAGGCACAGCCCCATGAAGCCGCCGGCGGCCTCGCGCTCGGGCTCGTCGACCCACTCGCCGGCGGCCATCATGGAGCTGCTGCCGAGCCAGCCATTGGTGAGGCCAAAGGGCAGCTGGACGAGCAGCAGGTAGAAGAGGTCGCTGGACACGACGGCGCCGCGGCCGCCGACGTTGCAGAGCATGTACAGCGGCAGGAAGCAGACGCGGGCGGCGGCGAGGCCGAAGAGGGCCGCAGGCCGGCGGCGGAGCGCGGCAAAGGCCGGGTGGGCCGTCGAGATGCGGCCGACGAGGTCGCCGAGGTTCCAGAAGAAGAAGGCGAGCGGGATGAAGGCGCCCGGCTGCAGGAGGGGCGGCAGCGGCGACGACGACGACGCTCCCGCCGCCGCCGCCACGCCGGCCGCGGCGTCGTCGTCGGGCTTGGCGCTCCGCACCGACACGACCTTGGATGTGAAGACGGGAAAGAACATGGTGACGGCGAAGCAGAGGAAGACGGCGCCGGCGGGGAAGTGGAGCTTGCGGAAGAGCTCCATGGGCCCCACGACGCGGCGGGCGGCGCGCTCGGCCTCCTCGACCGAGGCGTGCGACGCCGCCATGCGGTCCGACATGCGGCCCTCGACGATGCGGCCATGGCGGCGGATCAGCGGGAGGAAGGCGGCCGTGGCGGCGGACGAGACGACGACGGCCGTGAGGAAGTAGTAGAAGGCGGCGGCCCCGGCGTCTGCCTGATCCTGCTGTTGCTGCTGCTGCGCCTCGGCGTCGTGGCCAGATGCGGGGTCCTTGACGAAGGCGAGGTACGAGGCTATCTGGGCGACGGACGGCAGGACGCCGGCCACGGCCTGGCCCGTCATGATGGCCTGCATGTACTCTGGACGGCCGAAGCCGGCGGCGAAGGCGAAGGCGCCGTTCTGCATCAGGCCCGTGGCCCACGAGGTGAGCCCGACCATGGCGAGGAGGAAGCCGGCGTAGACCCTGGGCGGGACGTCGAGGAACAGTGTGGTGGAGGCGGTCAGGAGCGAGAAGAGGCCGACGTTCATGACGAGGGCAGTCGTGATGCGGAAAGGGTACGAGGCCGAGCCCTGCATGTTTGCGAGCAGCAGCATGGCGCTGAGGTTCGTGACGGTCGAAACGGAGAGGATGGCGGACTGGAAGTTGGCGGCCAGCCAGGCGTCGTCGCCGAAGCGCGTGCCGAAGTAAGGGGCCGCAGCGAGGAACATGTTCCAGGCCCAGAGCATAGCGACGCCCAGCATGGCGAAGATGGCGTACTCAACCCAGCTGAATGGGATGTCGTGGCCGCCGTGCTCGCCGTCGTCGCGCCCCAGGGACGAGGCGCTCCCCTCGCCGTCGTCCGGGAGCGGCTCGTACGCCTGGTCGTCCCGCGACGGCGACTTGCCGTGCGAGAAGAGGCTGCGGAGGCGATCCATCGTGCCGTCGGTTTATCGGGGGCGTTGCTGCGGTTGATTGCTGTCTTGGGGGCGATAGAGTGACGGCCCGCAGGCGATGGTGTTGGGCTGCTCGTCACCTCGGACTCATTCGAGGGCTGGCCGTTGCTGGTCGTCGCGAGGTGTGAGTGGTGGTGAGGTGGTTTGGGTGGTCGCTGAGCCTGCGCGTGGGCGCTGGCTCTGTCATCGTCCCAGGTCAGGTCAAGGCGGCAAGTGACCGACGGTATCTGCCTAAAAGGGAATAGCCGGGACTGGCGGGGCGGCGACGGGCTCCCCCGCATTGCATTTCATTCGCCAACGGTACTGAAAAGCCCACTCCTGGCTGAAGGAAAGTGGGTCTGCGGTTTCGTTGCATCCCGCACGTCTGCCACGCCAGAGTTGGGAATTTAGTTACTTAGTTTAGTTACCCCCTTGACTAAGACTAACTAATTTAGTCACGGCAGTAACTGCCACGGCTCACACCTTATTGTCATAGAAAAGGCTTTGTTGTTGCACGAAGAGGAAGCTATCTGGGCAGAGCGTCCCTGGCGTTCTGTCGCGGTTTTGTAAGCGTGACGTTGGCGCGCTAAGAGTGCGGCCTCAGGTTCCTCACCAGGTGCCCCGGCGCGTACCGTGACAGTAACTAAAACTAAAAGTAACTAACTAATAACTAACTAAAATAACTAAATTAGTCGCTTTTAGTTATTTAAATAAATAAATAAATAAATAAATAAATAAATAAATAAATAAATAAATAAATAAATAAATAAATAAATAAATAAATAAATAAATAAATAAATAAATAAATAAATAAATAAATAAATAAATAAATAAATAAATAAATAAATAAATAAATAAATAAATAAATAAATAAATAAAATTAAAAAGAACAGTTACGCTTTTGAGCCTCCCTAACGCCTTTACTGTTTTTTTTTGTGTTATTTAAGGAACGAGTTAAAACACTAAAAAGCAGTATTACTCTATTCTTTTGCCTTAAACGCTTAAAATCAAAATCAGGGCAATTTAACGAAGGTGCCCCCGAAGGGCCGTGCACCGGCGTCAAATTAGCGGAGCGGCTCCTGATTTTATGCTATTCACGGTTCGCAGAGCAGCCACACGTGATGCTTAGTCCCTGCATGCGAGTATGTTGTGCATTGTTAACCTACCTAGGCAGAAGAATGCAAAGCAGGGGCATAACAAAGCGAGGCCCTTCAAAGATGTGGACTCGGTTATGGTGGGGGAAAGTAAATAAGGCATGTGCGAAGAACAGAGAAAAAGATATCAAAATATAACCCTGCAAACAGGTTCAACACCGCTCCCTCATCACTCCGCATCGACAGGGAACCTATCAAGGAACTTGAACTGCTTTAGCCCCGTGGTAAAGTTCCTCACCAGCGCCGCCGCGTCGCTGCCTTTAAAGACGCCGTCGCCGTCGGGCACACCCACGCCAGCGAGCGCGTCGGCCGCCGAGCCGAGCGCGCCGACGGGCTTGCCCCAGCGGTAGGCGTCGAGCACCAGCTCGGCGGGCCTGCCAAGCGGAAACAGGGTTGACCTGGTGCCGTTGCCGCTGAAGAAGGTCTCGGCGCCGGGCGCCACCAGCAGGCCGTCGAAGCCGGAGGCGTCGGACGCCGAGTAGGTCGCGTTCACGCCCGCGGCCTGAGACTCGGCCACGACCGTCACGACGACGCCCTCGGCCTCGAGCCCATCCCTCAACCCGGCCGCGTTGCCCGCCGAGCCAGCGGCCGCGAGCACGGCCACCCGCAGGCCCTTGACGCTGGTCAGCGGCTTGGCGAAGACCGAGAGGCCGGTCGTCGTGTTGTCGTGGTAGAAGCGCGGGTCCGGCGCGGGCGCCTCCATGCCGAGGGCCCTGGCCACGCGGGCCGCGACGCCGTTGTGGATCCGGTTGATCTGCCGCAGCGCGTTCTCGCGCACCACCCCGGCCTTGACGTTGCTGAGCTCGAACCGGATCGCGTTGACCACCATCTGCTGCTCCGCCCTGGTCAGGCTGTTGAAGAAGAGCCGCGGCTGCGTCCAGTGGTCGTCAAAGGTCTGCGAGAGCGCGCGGTTCAGCGCGCCCGACACCGTGCGCTTGGGCGCCGTGAAGAAGCCCCGCCCGTTCTCCTGGTCCGCCTGCTTGGGGCCGTTGCTGAGCGCGCTGGGGGTGTCTAAGGGTCGTCACGAGTGAGGCGCCGCATCAGCCATGCTTGCTCGCCAGCATATTGCACATGGCAGACGAAGAGGGTAAGTGAGTATATGCTTACAAGGGAAGATGTTCTTGTGGATCATCATCTGCATCGCGCCGTCGCGGTGGTTGTTGTGGACAGTAACCCGGGGGCGGTTTACTGGAATCTCTGTGCGTCACCAACATGCCGAGTTAGCACCCGCACTGTTTGTCATTTCTATTTCCGATTCTCAACTCACGCTCAAAGTTGGGACCGCCGTTGCGGTTTAGCTGTGTGTCAAGGTAGCTAAACACACGCCCCTGTAAAAGAGGGTCTTCGCTGAAGTCGATACCGCGTACAACTGTTCGGGGGTTGCGTCAGCTTGGATATTCACCATCCTCGGCCGATCAAGGGGCTCTCTAATTGGCTGGCTTGCTTACCATGGCCGACTTGGAACTGTATCACGGCTGTTAGCTGGGGGGTGTTCATCATCTTCAACCAATCAAGGGGGCTTCCCGACTGGCTGTCTGGCTGGCTAGCTTACCATGACCTGCTCCGTCTCAGCAAAGTAGTTGGTCGGATTCCGGTCCAGCTTCATCACCCCAAGGGGCTGGAGTGGCGCCAGCTCTTGGGGGAGGATCTTGGTCGGGTCGAGCATGTCGAAGCCAAAGGTGAGTGCGTCCTCCTCCTTGACCAGCTGGATGCTGAGCTCCCACTCGGGCCCGTTGCCGGCCTGGATGGCATCCCACAAATCCTGTCTGTGGAAATCGGCGTTCTTGCCGTTCAGGACCTGGGCCTCCTCCCAGATGAGACTGGCCAGGCCCTGTTTCGTCTTCCAATGGAACTTGACGAGGTGCGACTCGCCCTTGTCGTTCACTAGGCGGAACGAGTGGACGCCGAACCCGTCCATGTAGCGGAACGACCGCGGGGTCCCGTGCGGTGACATGGCCCAGAAGAGAGCATGCATAGTGGACCTGGAAAGGAAGGGAGCCGGGTTAGCGATATTGACCCAAGGTGACAGGCGGCGGCAGGCTGTAGAGGGGGACTGACGGCTGCGAGCTGAAAAAGTCCCACGCGCTGTCGTGAGCAGTCGCGGCCTGCGGTATCTCATTGTTCGGGCTGGGCTTGACCGCGTGGATCAAGTCAGGGAAACGGATAGCATCCTGGATGAAAAACACAGGGACGTTGTTGCCAACAATATCTAGAAAGCAAATGGGTTAGCTGGCCCCCCCGCCGGTATACAAGATCTTGAACGGGGGGTCGTGCTCCCTCACCAAAGTTTCCCTCGTCCGTGTAGCTGCAAGATAGGTTGAGTCCAGTCAGTCAAACGTCTTGGTGATAAAAGCGGATGAATGGACGTACAGCCTGGTGGCAAACCCGCGGATATCCCTGACGGTGTCTGCACTTCCCCTAGAACCGGCCACGGTGGAGAAACGAACAAACACCTCGGTCTTCTTCCCAGCTGCGCCGAGAAAAGACGCGGCCGTGATGTTGCTGAAATCCCCGTAGCTGGTGAACGTGCCGGACGCACCTGCCCCACGCGCGTGGACGGCCCGCTCAGGGACCTTGATGGCGAGGTCAGCGGCGCTGATCATGTGCTATCGAGCCAAGCGTGGGGGCAAGTAGATACTCACTCGTTCGTGATCGAACCGGGTTATCTTCTCGCGAAAAATAAAGTCTTCCAGCAGCGTGGGGCCGCGGGCGCCGGCCTTGAGGCTGAACTGGTCGCCAATGGGCCCGCCAAAGTCGTCGGTGAGGAACTTGTCCTTGCTGTCGACGGTGAACTGGCCGGCAAAGTCCCCGTTGGGCGCCGCGGCCTCGTCCCTGCGGCGGAAGGCGGAGGGGTCCGCATAGGGGCAGACGGCGAGGGCGAGGCCGGGGAAGCCCAAGCTCGCCCAGGTGATGAGGGATGTGGAGAAATGCATCGTGTGTGTAGCTCGACGGGGCTGCCCAGAGAAGGTGTTGCCTGGGGTAACAAGCTGGAGTCCACACTTGAGGTTCTGACCTCCTGAAAAGCCTGACGTTTATTTTGGCTGGTCTCAAGTGACACCGAGCAAAGGCAGACTCGAGGTAGAGCGTGTGCGAGCCGGCCAGCTTCTTATAGGTCTGCATATCGAGGGACACTCGGCCCAGGCTGCAGTGGGAGGCTGCTTGCTGCATCTACCCGCGGTAGCCACGAGCTGGCTGGGAGGTGCCATGTTGCCTCGCATGGACCCATGTCCCAGTGTACACTTGTACCAACGCCAGCAGAGGGGGGTACGAGAGGGAGCACTGGAAGCAAGCAACGCACAAAGTTTGGTAGCGCAATCTGAAGCCCCACTGGCAGAGATTGGCGAGGGTGTGTATGTGTGTGTGCCACTGCAAGGGCGTGCTATGGAGTAGAAGGATGAGGGTGCTGATACCTGGACCTCTACACCGAGAAACATACCGATCGGTACCTTGGCGTGATTGCCGTTGCATCACAGTTCCATCTCACAAGAGACGATTCGATGCAAGCTACCCGAACAGGCAGCAGCAAAACATGTTTTGGGCCCAGACTCGGGGTTTGTGATGTGTAATCGAACTCCCAGCTGACGCCGCCGGCCGGAGCACTGGTCCAGCCGAGTCGACCCTGCCGCCTCCGGACTGCAAGGCCAAGGCGCCGATGGGTTAGCTGCGTCGGGGGAACAATATTGCAGCCACCAGAGCAACCGCCCCGGTCCTCCAGACGGGGTTCACTGGGCAGTCGAGGCTTTGAAGGATTTC